AACGTCTGCGACTCGAGACGATATGTCTCCCCTTGCTGCCCCAAGTATTCGAATATTGTCAAATTGAACTGAAGTGCTTCTTGAAGTGCGGTCTCGCGCTGTGAATATGAATGCGTCTTCACGGGATGCGTGAGAACAGCAGGCAATTTCCACGAGCTCGTATAGCACAATCCACCACTGCACAACATGATCAGCATTCTACGAAGGAAGACTGAGCGGACGTTCTCCTACTTGAGAATGAGCCAACTACGAAATGGGTCGTTCCCAACAACCGCTTGGCTCGTGGAACTATTGGCGAAGCGGCTGGGCTTCACCTCAGAAAATATATGTAAAGAGCAGAGACAACGGAGGATACGGACTGCCAGGAGTCTTCAGCCGATGAGCAAATCAGGCACCACACAACACTCACTAAGCTTTCCTGCGTTGATACCCGTGCAATGGCTGATGTCCTGGATGTCCATTCCCGAGCTTGGGTCCGTTTCGGCAAGTATATCGAACACTCTTGCTTCAGCAGCAATGTGCAAGGCACGAGCAGGAAGATACGAGAAAGAGATCTCGCTCAGCCGCTCCAGAGGATCTTGCACTAGATCTGCGCACATGCCGCAGGCACCAAGGATAATGCGGCGTGCTTCGAACAACTCCTGCGACGGAGCTTGACCAGTGGCAGGGCCGGGGAGGTAGGGCTGATCCTCTGCGTCCCATTGTTTGATGACGACCTCGGAAGCATCCACAAGCATTCGCATGAGGGCCCGAAGTGTCTCAGCCTTCTTTGACGATGAGCGGTCCATAGTCGCAACTGTTGGGATGAGCCAGGCGTATAGGCGTCAATGTGGCTCCTGAGGGTGCTGCCTGAAACTTGACTTCCATGCCAGGTTAAGTCCTGGATGGATTTGCGTGCCTGAGATGTTCACAAACGGAACGGCCATTTTGAGACGCATGATGCAGTGGTACAGGTGGCGCCATTTTATCATTTCTTCTAGTTCGAAAACTGAGTTCATGGGCCATCAGTGTGATAACCCCCTCCATAAGGTATCAGGTGCGGACCACATCGGTGCCATCACGACATTAGCGGGGATGCCGTTGATGAGGTCGCACGTTTATGTGAATGGCCTCGCCAAATTGGACTGTGGAGCTACCACAACGAGTGCATAGCCTCCTCAAGTATCATACCTCGAGATACTTTGGATAACCCTGCAGTAGTAACGGGTTCACCCACAAGCATCAGCTTCCTCGAACACAACGCAAAATAATGTGCATACGTTTCCCGGAAGCATACTGTTTGTCACCTGCTGCTCGAACTGTAGCGAGCGTAGCTGATTATGTCGCCTGTAGTTGAGCAAATGATATGGAACAAACGATAGCAGAACTCTCACAAGGTATACCATACGCGATCTTTGTGCGCAACCTCTCGAAACGTCCACTGTCAATTATATCGTCTTAGGATGGCGAAGGTATATACAAGCGGGAAACTATGCGCTGGGGTTTAACAAACTCGAGTGACTCCGTGTGTGGCACATCGCAATGGCTGTGTAGCACATGAGTTTTGACACGACACGACAATTCATTCGCCATCTTGTTGGAAAGCGCAGCAGCGTTTACACCTGTTGTAGTAATTCAGCAGTTGTTATAGGACAGACCGGAACGATAGCCAAACTCTCGCAAAAACAAATACCATACGTGATCTGGCATGTGCCGCGCCCTTACGAAACGCGCATGATTAGAGCATACTGTCCGATTCTGCACCCCCGCTCCTGTCCGCTAGATGCATGCTCCCACCATGCTACTGCCTCGGGTTCGCGGATGCTCTGGGCGCTCGCCGTGAGCCGGTGCTTGGAGGTAGGAAAAGCACACTAAACAGGAACGCTGGCGTGCTCAAAAGCACGATGATGGCAGAGGCCGCGAACTCGACAAGCATCGTGCGGGCATGCACAGTAGATCTGCTCATCGTGCGCATAGATGGCGGAGAGCACCTTGGGTACTGGCGGGCCGCCGGCGCATGATTGGGCACATTTTGGGAAGACGGCGATCTGAAAGGAGCACTGTGTGCACTCACTTGGCAATCCTGGTGAAGTTTAACGTGTGTCTGACCTTGTGGGCAGTTTGCGCGACGCGTCTGTGCGATAGCTCCCGCTCCGCCATGGGTGTTGCTGGACAAACGAAGTCGGGGGTCGACGTATGCACGCATCACAGCGCGCCTGGAACAGAAGAAGCTCGACTGCACAGCCTGAAACGTTCGCCATTATTGAGAACAGCACAGTATAACGGGTATCGGATCACAGTATCTACCTCGACGCATACAGGCCTCGGCCAGGAGCGCGACACGCCGCGCGATTACATGAATGTGCGAGACTTTGCGGTATGGATACAGAATGCGGGAGAGCTCTATTGGTACAGCGGAGACAAGTGTCCAGGGAACGGCTTCGGCCTTAGAACCGCGGAGCGGCTGTGTGCAATCTGCCCTCACCAGAGCCCCGTGGGGGTCCGCATGAGCGCACTTGGCCGAGGTTTTGTTTCTTGCCTTTGCGAGGCTGGGGAGCTCGCAAGGGGGGTGGTATCCCGTGGCCGCGGCGACGCGGCGCCCCGCGATGGAGGCGCTGGGCAGAGGAGTGGGGTGGGCGGGCGCACAGGCAGCGCGTCGGCGTCGTCGTCATTGTCGTTGCCGTCACGGCGAGTCAACTTCCTCCGCTTGGTTGTGCGGGCACTGTCGTCTGCCACATTGCTCTCGTCTTCCGCGCCGTCGTCCATGCCGGGCTCGTCGGGCGGGACATAGACCGCGCGCTCCGCAAAGACGTCCGCGGGCGACACGAGCGCGCGAAGGCGCAGGACAGTGCGGTACGCGGCGGTCGGCTTCTTCGTCGGGGGCATTCTATACGGGTAGGGGCCGCCGGGGCGCGCCTTGTATGCGTCGACCGCCGCGCGGTCGTCGGGGGGCCAGTTGCGCTGGACCTCCTCTGCGCTGACAAGGCCGCTGTCGATGAGGCGCCAGAGCATCTTCACGGGCAGTCTGTATATTTCCGAGCGGGCGGGCACGGCGTGGATGTAGCAGTCGTGCGTCGTGAGCGTTTGTCGGGGGCTGGGCCATAGTTCTGGGAGGCGCATAGTGGCGGAAACGGGCTCGTAGGCATAGTCACGCACTTTCACCCCAGCGGCAATGGCGGCCGCAACGCACGCGGCCTGGCCCTGGAAGCAGGGGATGTCTTCGGCGATTTCAGTGTCTGTGGGCGATGGGGGCTCTGTCCAGGCGCACTCGTCGTCGAGGGTGGTGGTTAGATTCAATTTTGGTGGAGGAGCGGGAGGTGCTGTGGAAGGAGAGCCGTCGGAGGCCATGGTCGGCATGCTTGCAGTGCGATTTGAGGCTGAAGCTGCAGAGTCTGCGCTGCGTTTGCGTTTGAGGGGTGACTGGGAGGAAAAACGGGCGGGGAGCGGCGCAGAGAGAGGGGTGGAGAGTGGGCGAGACAGACGGACGGGGGACATTGTTGTGGACGAGAGCGAGCGGCGGACGCTGTGTTTTAAATGGTCGCCTGTGGCCAAAGCGATGCCCAAGTTGGGACAATTGACTCTGTGAGAGTGTCGTCTAAGCGCTGGTCGTCGCGATGTGGCTGCAGCGCAAATGACAAGCAGGCGCTTACGTAACAATCGATGGTGTTCATTTCCGGCCGAGTCTCCAGACTTTGTCCCGGGTTAGCGTCAACGTCAACGCTGACCACTCTCTCTCTCCCTCTCTCCGCAGCCTCACATGTCGTCGTCGAACAAGACTCCTCCTACGCCAGTCGGAGAGGGCGACTCCTTTCTCGTGCTCGACTTTCTTCCCCCGGATCTGGCCGATGCCGTCTTTGAGCAACTGCGCGGAGAGGTACAATGGAATGTGATGCATCACCGAGGTGTGCAAATGCATCCGACGGTCTGATTCTATGTGTCTCAGCTCAGCGCAGGTGGTCCGGTCCCGAGGCTGGTCGCAGTAGAGGGCGAAATCAACCCGGACGGAACGTGCGTCTCAGCTCGCCTCTCGTCCATTCCTGCCTTTCACAGGCCCACATTGTGCACCCCTCCTCTCAGCTATCCCATCTACCGCCACCCCGCAGACGAGTCGCCCCCGCTGCTCCCCTTCTCGCCCACCGTCGCGCGCATCCGGCGCCACGTGCAGGACGCGCTGCAGCAGCCCGTCAACCACGTGCTCATCCAGCACTACCGCTCCGGCGCGGACTACATCTCGGAGCACTCGGACAAGACCGTCGACGTCGTGCGCGGCTCGCGCATCGTGAACGTGAGCGTCGGCGCGCAGCGCGTGATGACGCTTCGCACAAAGAAAGATGCCCAGCGTACCCCCGGCGATGCGCGCGCGGTGCAGCGCGTGCTGCTCCCGCACAACTCGATGTTCGTCCTGGGCCCCGCGACGAACATGCGATGGCTGCACGGGATCCGCGCAGACAAGCGGCCGCAACACGAAAAGGCGGGCGCAGAGTGTCGCGCGGGCGGGGAGCGCATCAGCCTGACGTTCCGCCATATCGGTACGTTCTTGACACCCGGGGAGGGGTACATTTACGGGCAGGGCGCAAAGAGCAAGACGCGCGACGCGGCACGGCCCGTGGTGCGGGGCGGGCCTGAGGCAGAGGAGCTGCTCGCCGCGTTTGGGGCGGAGAACCATGCGAGTGAGTTTGACTGGGAGGTAGCATACGGCGAGGGGTCGGACGTCCTGCACTTCTCCGTTTTTAATTCTGGCGATTGACTACCTGAGCTCAACTGTCTGAGGCTCGCGCCCGGCGCGATGACTATCTTTCGTGTGCAATGCGATACGCCCGCGCCGTCCTTGCTGGGCGCGAGCCGCATACCATCACCCATGTCGCCCTCTGTGATTATTTCCCCTGTGCAACCACACGCTGTCCTTCATACCCGGCACCGCGATACACCCACACCATCTGCCGCCCCGCGAGCTCTCCGAGATGCGCCCACGCGCCCCCGTCCTCGCGATCACATGGTCACCGCCATGCGCCCCACGTGAGGACGCATCCACCGCCGCCGCCCACCACTTTGCGACGAGGGGTCCTCCTTCGCCCTCACGTGGCGACGCGTCCGCCGATGCCCGCATTTTTCCCTCATCAAAGACCATGTTCCCCACAACGCCGACGCCCTCCCCGCCATCGCCCGCCGTGCATGGCCTCATCAAAGATGTCTCGCGCGTCGTCAATCGCCTCGTGCGCATGTCGCCGCTCTCCCCGCCCGCCTCGCCCAACTGCCGCGAGCTCGCCCGCATCCCCCCCATCGCCCGCAGACTCCATATGCGTCGTTGCAGACTCTCCTGCCGCAAGCAACGACGAGGGCATCGTCAACACTCCTACAGTGTTCACCCGCCGCGTGACACAGACCCTGGACGCGCTCGACCTTCCCCTGCTCTCGCCGCCGGAACTCCTCTGTCTTGCCTCTGCGCGCTCTGCGGGCACTTATACCGCCACAAAGGACGTTTTGCTCGCCCTCCTCTGCCGCAGCTTCCGGCATGCGTTGCGACTGACGCAGTACCCTTCAGGAGGACATCCTCTAGCCGCTCCTGTCACCCATGCTGACCCCCCACGGGTTCCGCCACGAGTCTGTCCGCTCGGGGAACATATTCGCCCCTCAGGTGCGCCTCTACGCGCGCCATCGCGCAAGTTGCTCTCCCCCCGCTCACCCGCACCCTTGCTGATTTCCTGCAGGCGCTCCGCAACCTCGACGACGCTACGAGCGGCACGTACGCCTTCCAGCTCGTCCTCAAGTTTGCCTCTAATTGGAACGCGATCACCGGCTCCGGCAGCACGCGCTTCAAGCGTGACTTCAACCGCGCCATGTTCTGTGAGCAGCCGCACGTTGCTCGCCAGCTTGATGGCAAAAATGCTGCTACCCGCGATGCCCTCCTCGCCGGCCCCCTCAAGGTGGAACTCAAGCAGTTCATTCGCCGCCTCCAGGACGTCATCACCGCCCGCAACCGCCTCCTGGAGATGTACAACCACGTGAGTGGTCTCTCCCGCACTTTGTCCCCCCTCTCACTCCTGCAGTTTGGTGCCGTTGTCGTCGTCGACCTTGTCTGGGATGTCGACCTCATCCGCGGCTCCCCCGAATTCCCGCGCGTCTTTCGCGCGGTCGCCAAGAGCCTCCGACTGCCCCACCGTCTCCCGGCCCTCCACGGGTCCGCTCGCCACGTCGTCCTTGCCATACTGACCGTCCTCGGTGACCGCCACGACGTGCTCTATGCCGACGCCTTTTTCGACGCGAACCATCCCAGCCGTGTGCCCTGTGTCTAGCTGTCCCCAGTGTTGTAGCACGTGTACCTGCTTGTTGTTAGACCTTCGTTGCACCGCTGTCATAAACTCCCCTGCATCTTGGGGAGTTTGCTGCCCCTCCACCCCAGGGCTTGCCGCACGTCAGTCCCGGCAGCACACGGTCAGACCTCCGCACATCCTAGGGGGTCTGTCCACACCTGACGCGGACGCCCTGGGGTCATCCTGTCGTACGACCCTCACACCGCATTTTTGTGCCGTTTCCCCGATGTGCGCGACCGTCACACTCTCCCGGGAGAATGTGCGCCCGCACTCCAACGCATGTCACGCGTCAAGCACCCCGCTTTGCACCTCTCCCCAATGCATATACTCTGCGCGCTGTCTATCATAGCCCTGTGCTGTCAAACCCCTCCAAGCATCTGGCCTCACAGTGTCTCGCTACGGGTGAATGACAATGGACCAACGTCAGATGAATAACCCCGCGACACTCGTGTATTCCATGCCGGGATCATTCGCGCACGGACCAGGATTGTCTGTGCCAGGCCCGTTCGTACTGGGACCGCTGTCTGTACCATCTGCAGGTACCCGCCTGGCAAAGACACTACCATTGGCAGATGGCCGAGAATGAGAGGTTATTGTCGTTGTGCCATTTTTTTTAAATACAATCGCAATTGAACGGACTCGTGGCCTCTCTTCTCGAAAGCGGCTGAGTAATACATGGTCCAGGTGAAGTTGTTGCCGACGTGTGCCCATATTTTTAGAATAGGACCTGAGGGAGGGGTCTTTCGGGACTATGGAGAGCAAGCTCGGTGAAGTCATCGCACCGTCCGAGTTTCATGAGCGATAGGCTTTAGATGAGCATTTCCGATTTTTTCTGAAGTGTACGAAAACGCCGCATATCTGGTGATGCTGGTAAACAGTGAGAGTTGCCTGTCCCGCCGGCGCCAAGCCAGGCCGAACAGTTGCAATCGTATTTTCCGCGGCCCTATCGCCCAATTCCCGACGTTCTGGGTTTGCAGAACGGGGGGATATGTTTTCCAAACATTGTCTACAAATTATCGAGTGCAGATTGTTTTCTCATTCTGCACCAGAGGGCAGCCAAATACAAAACACTGATCGGTGTCATTACCTGGGGTAACGATTCAAACATACGTAATCAAGTCATTCAAGCTCAAGCCGGGCGCCTGCAGGAGGCGCGCGTGATTTGTGAACGGAAGCAGATTCATTTGATTGGCGCCCCTCACTATTGTTGATCACAGCAAATTATCCTTGTCTGGCGCTTTAGCGGTCTCGCAGTGACTGTGGGGACACCTTGAACGGCAGGGCGGCGGTCGTCTGCACATCCCCAAGTCCCGCACAAACGCTTGTATCTCTGCAAAGGTTGGTATCACGGCGCTGCGTGTTTACTGAATTCAACCCTGTACTCGAGAGTCAGACCGTCGACGGGTATCAGGACGCATCCTCTGCGACGCCGGCGATGGGATTGTCCGGGAGGAAAGTCAAGCAGCGCATACCGGCAGACCCTAGGAATCTGTCGTGGGCCAACGGTACGGCACAGTGTCCAGGGGCTGGCTGAACACCGCTCATTCTGGCTGTAGATGCGAACAAGTTTGGGACGGCGTATCTTGAAAAGTTCGGGTGGAGCTCGTCTGCGGGCCTGGGGCCGGCGGGCGAGGGGCGCACGAAGCACATCTCGGTGTACCAGAAGCTGGACATGCTGGGGATCGGCGCGGACCACAAGAACAGCGCGGACGGGACGGCGTGGAAGCAGGGGCGGGATTTTGAGAACTTGTTGCAGCGGTTGAACGGGGCGGGCGGGGCGGAGGGGGCGGCGGTGAAGGTGGACGGGTTCGTCAGACCGTCTGCACAGGAGGAGAGTGCAGAGACGGTGGGCGAGGACGATGCGAAACCCGGCAAAAGCAAGAAGAGGAAACACGCGGAGGCGGATGGACAGCCCGACTCGGGCAGGGAGAAGAAGAAACACAAAGAGGAGGAGCGCAAGGAGCGCAAGCGGCGGAAGGAGAAACAACGAGCGACTGACGACCAGACAAAGGACACAGACGCGTCCGCCCCGCCCGCGTCGTCGTCGTCGCCGAGCTCCTCTCGAGCCACGGACCGCGCGCAGCGAGCCCCAGTCGCTGTGCCTCGTCCTCGTCCGTGCGTACACCGCTGCCCTACACAGCCCCGTCCACTGACGCCCGCTCGCGCAGGCTGCGCGCCCACCGCGCGCGCCACATCGCATCCAAGAGCCTCGCGTCGAAAAACGCGGTCGCCATTTCGGAGATCCTGGGCATCGCACCCTCCGCCGCAACCACAGCAGGTGCCTCTGCGTCGCCCGCGCCATCTGTGCCGCCCGCGTCGGGCACCGCACTGGGTAGCGCCGCGCCGCTGCAGGAGCTGACGACGTCGTCGAAGAGCGTCATGGACTACTTCCGCGAGAAGCTCGCAGCGAAGAGCGCCCAGGGTCCGGCGCCCGCCGCGCTGGACGACTGGGACGAGCCCAGGGGCGGTCTAGGGTCGTCGGCTCTCCGGCGGGCGGGAGCGGAGTCTGCTGGCGCGGAGGGGCGCGCAGGGCTCGGCGCGTTCAGGGCAGCGGCGCTTGTCTCTGAGGAGCCGGAGGAGCCGGTGGCGGGCGGGGACGCCGTGCGCGAGCGGCGGAAGAAAAGGAAGAGGGACAAGGCAGCGCGGCGGGAGGAGGCCGCGTCTGCGGACGGCGTGGACGGCACGCGGGGGCTGGCGGAGGCGTCGCCGGAAGAGAAGAAGAGGAAAAAGAAAAAGAAAAAGAAAAAGAAAGGTGAGAAACGCGAGGACGCAGGGAAGAAGCCAAGTGGGAAGGAAGACAGGTCGTAGGCTGTGTTCGTCCGGGTACCCCGGCGTCCATGTTTGGTGCCTTCTCGAGTGGATCACCGTGTAGAGCGTCCATCAGGGGTGGAGCATCGAGCGTCCTCTGACATATGTCCGAAAATTCCAACGCACACCGCACGATATCGACAATGACATGCCCTCTCGTTTCGTCTCTTATTTACTCTCTTTTTTTGGTTTAAAAAAAAAATCCATCTCTCTGGATACCACTTTGCTATGCTACCTCTCGACGAGCTGTAGGAACTCGCTCGGGGTGATCAGACCCGAGGGACAGGTGACGTACGCCAACACGATAATTCTGTCGGCATCGCTCGGAGCCATTAATATTGCGCGATTCCGGGAGCGCATCGACGGCGGCGTGTGTGCCGGTGCCGGCTTCCAGAATCCTGATGAAGCTCCATTTCAGGCAATCCACCTTCCCAGTTTGGTATGTAGCCCGTCCGCTCCGAGTCTCTCGTTCAGTTCTATGCTTGCGCTCTCGGTGGGCGAGCATGTATAAATACGGGTCCCTTGTGCTTTCGAGTGGCAGCTGAGCGCTGATCGCTGAGCCCCCGCTGCCTTTGTACCTTCCGAGTCTCGAGTCGCATCTGTCGCCCATTGAATATTGGCCAAGGCGAGAAAAAACAAAGGGACCGTTGAGTAGATTTTTCCCTTGAAATGCATTCTTGTCCCGTAGGAAATTGAGTCGCGCTGCAAATTTAGACAACTTGAAGCAACCCTGAGGACCCCTGGTGGAAGCCGAGCGGCGGTAGTCTCCCTCTCGCGACGAGGCTGAAATCCGACCATGTCCACGACTATTTGGCAAATTGCTTGCCTGCCTGAGTGGAATGCAGTCTGGGAAAACCGTGGTCGAAGCGACACTGCACCCGTGCTGCTCCTCGTCTCGTCTCGGTATTCCCTCCGATAGAGGCGGGAGAACAGTGCCGCCGCCGGGATCGGAAGTGGCCAGCCCTGCCTATGCGCACACCGCTCTCGAGCCCTAACACCACGTAACGCACCACTGCGCAGGGCAACAACCCGCATAATTTATTGCACGACATTACAGCAAAATCACACCGCAGCGATCCAGAATACACGGTACCACTCCATCCCGCCCACGTACGGCTTTCACGACGCATTACCACTCGCCTCCCGCCCCGGCTCCGTACTCGAGCGCATCCAGCGCGTACAGCCCGCCCCATCCTAGCGTCGCTTCTCCCACCCGCTCCCCTCCTACCGCCATGGGGAAGCACGCGCTCTGCGCCGGCGCACTCTGCGGTGCATCCGCGTACATGTAGTTCGCACCGTCGGATGTGTCCGACACCGCGCCCGCGAGGCTCGATGTCATCGACGCCTGCATCGCACCCGAGCGCACCGCCGCGGCGAACCGCGCCGCTACCAGCGCCTCGTACTCGGGCGTCACAACGAACGGCTGGTCCTCCCCGTTTTCCGCGGGACTTGCTGGCTCCGTCAGCCCTGGAGATGCGAACGGCGACGGCGCGACGCTCCCCAGCGGCGTGCTCCCGTACGACGCGCTCTGGCCCGCACCCGCGCCCCCGCCCGCACCTGTGGGCGCACGCCCGTACCCGTACCCGTACGTCCCGTCAAACGCCGCCGGGAGGAAGGGCGCGTACGACGCGGCGGACTCGTGCGATGGCGGTGCAGTGCGGGGGGGCCACAGCGCGC